GATTCACAGCTCGGTGAGAAAGAATGAAAGAAGACGGAATGCGTTAGGAAATTTGCATGCGGAACGAATCGGAAATTATTCAAATAGTTTATATAATGTGCATTGACTACGAGAACAGCTATATGGGCCTTGAATACGAATGACCACAATTGTACCACGAAGATTGAATCGTTTGCGCCGAAGAAAGAGAAAAAAAGAAATTCTTCAGGTGAAAATTTCGATGTAATTGGATGGTCTCAACAATAGTTTAAAGGATGAAAATAGAAGAGTTTTTTTTGGGAAATATTTAATTTGGTTTGCGATTACATCTAGAAATTTGCATGCCCCGATTTTTGCGCGAGGAATGTTCACTGTGGGTACAGAGCTTGATGGAAAGTAAAAGGAAGAAATCTGCGAAATGCATGCAGAGTAGTAATTTCATTTACAATCGCGTCTGGTAGCATGAATAACGTTGCGGTCTTTGCAAAATGCTTTATTTGTATATTTTTGTTTCGTATTTTGTTGTTTCTATATTTCTCTCTTTCCTTTTTCGCCTCTTTTATTTTCTTTTCAGCTCGTTTCCTTCCTTCGTTTTTTTTTTCTTCTTCTTTTCTTTCGAACCTCGGTGAATGTGTGTGCAAGTATACAAAACCGCAGCTTTTATAACCCGAGTCCCACCGTATTTGGGCATCCACCGTAATGGAATATTGCGAATAGCTCTTCGCCACCGCCGCAGTTGTTGTTCTTGGGTCTTAAAATCCATGCGAACATGGTTCTATCTCGGATTCCATAGAGCTGTATGCACCTTCCTAATAACTAACACTTAGGCCTTCGATTCTTGCAAAATGTTTCAATCAATTTTATATGGGGTTGAAGAGAGAAAACCCAATTAATACCGGAATTCTTCCGGTCTGCGCGCTGAATCCCCCTCGATCCATCCAATTAAGTCTGAACGCACGGCGAAGGCCGCCCATTAAATAAATTACACACTCCGTAATCCGCGTGAATTCGTTTCATTTAGAAAATGATATTAAATTAATTTGCATGCGATGATTGAGCTCCGATCGCGAAACGCCTTCCAGTTTCAATCACTCTCTTTCTTTTCCTTTATTTCCCTTCTTCTTTATCCACCAGATGCTTAGCGAATTCATGATTACATTTGAAAAGTTACAAAGAACACACCTTTTCCATGTTGCAGTTTTCTATTAGCAACAATTTTATATTTTTATTTAAAAAAAAAAATGATTTGAAAATTTACTAATAAAAATTACTTATTTACTTTATCTATTGACAATTCAATAAAATATTTTAAGTTCCATTTGAGAAAGTATATTTTTTTATTGAAAAATTTGATTTTATTATCAGAATTTTCAAAATCTACACATTTGGTGTAAACATTTGAGAAATTCTATTTTTTCTAAAGTAAATTCTATATTACTTTTAGCTTAATCAATAAAATATGTATATATAATAAAAAAAAAAGAAACAATAAATTGCCACTATAAATTTTAGTGTAAAATAAAAGTCTTGTACGAGAAAAAAATAATAATAATAACCTGAGTTTAGTTATTTAGGCCATAGCCATTACAGCCATTAGCCCATAGACATTTTTTTGTTGTGTTGTTGTTGAAGTCCATCAATTTGAATGTTGAAATAAACCTAGTTAGAGTTGGAGAAGGAATAGCGAATAGAAGAAAAACCGCTCGCCTGGGAAATCGCGTAATTGCTGAAACCCCGATCCCAATTAATTAGGCTCGTTTTCTTCGAATCCCCAGCAGATTTATGATTATTTTAGCCGATGCATCGTTCAATTCCATCTTCGTTTTTTTTTTCTCTCTCTTATACTTCTTCGCATAGATCTGGTCGTACGAACCTCCTATTTCTAATTGGCATTAAAAGTTGCGGTGCGGTGTCCCAGTTCGGGCCCGTTTTGGAATTGATGGACGAGCGATGAGCGCGCATGGAGATATCGTTGGAGAAAAAAAAACAAGAGGAGAGAGATAACAAGGAAAAGAAAAGTAAAACAAAAGAAGAGTAGTTAAAAAAAAAGAGGAATGCCAGCAACGAGGAGGAATAAAAAGAGTTATGCGACCTTTCGGTTGTGTTCGCTTGTTAACTTATTACTGCACAATTCGATTCCTTGTTTAGTTGAAGCGGGTCAACAATTGTCCCGCTTTTCTTCGTGGTGCATCAATTTATCGACCAGACTTAATTTAATTTATTGAACATTGATTTCTTCATTTCTTGAAAATTAAAAAAAAAATCAACATTTTCCAATATATAATTGTATAATTCCCAATTAATCTAATCCAGTATTCGATAACTTCTTGAGCTATTGCAATCCACCTTCGAACGCAGGGAATCTGAAAGTAGGAAATCTAATTTCGATTTGCTTCTCTGCTTTTTTTTGCTTCTTTTCTTCTCTTCTAATCGTACACACACGCTCATACGTCGATCCAATTTTACGAATCTTACTTTCTATAATCACATAGCCACACACACGTATGTTAGTACATATACGAGCAGACGCGGTTTATTAGGACTTTTTTAATGTTTCACTAAATCTTTTAGATCTACTCCAGATTTTCGGAGTCCGGGCGTTTCCGTTTCAATTAAAACTACACGAAAACAGAACATTCTTATTTTAAGACATTATTATACACGAGTTTCGATTCGTTTTCATTGACTAAACTTCTTCTCTCATTATTAAAAAAAAATATTTACAATTTTTACACTAAAAAATAATTAGAAAGAAAATCTTATTTTAAATTCAAAACTTTCATGAAAGTCAAAGAAAAAGTTTTTATAGAATCTATATTATCTTAATCTTTGAAAATGTATTTGAAAAGTTCAATATTGAGAAATTGAAAATCATGTTTTCTTTGATAATTAGAGTGAAATCATTAGTAAAACAATATTTTAATATAGTAAATTGAAACATTTCTTTATGAATTTGAAAAATAATGTTGAAATTTGTCATAACTATTTATTTTCTAAATGGATTTAATCAATCATTGATTAAATTCAGTGTATTATGCAGATGTTGATAAACGAAATCCAGAATGCGGTTTGTAATATGCAAAACGTTCTTTGATGCTCTCCGCGGCAGATGCGTCTCCGTAATAGATGCTGCCGCTGCGATAAGCGTGCAGAAGAAAGTAAATTTCTAAACGGAATTTAAATTGGCGTTTTGTCGTCGATCGCAACAACAACAAAAAAAAAAAAATAAACACGAAGCCTCCCTGATTGAGAGATCTCCTCTTTTGCGGCAACGCGACGATCGTCCGGTCAAGCCGGCAGATTGTCGCGTGTTTTCCCCACCTGTCGATTATTTTTATTCCTTTAGTTCTCAACATCTTCGCGCGCGCGAAAAATAATGAAGCCATAAATCTTCATCGAACGTTCATATAATTACAACTGGTCACTTATAATGTGTGTAGGTGAGAGAGAGAGTGAGATGTGGTGAAGTGATTGGGATCTAGGATTTTCAGGATTTCTTTGCGTAATTGCACATCCTTGCGCGCGCGCGACAAGAAAATTGGTCTCGAGCCTCGAGCCTAATCCGCGAAATGCCAGCCAATCGTTTAAACGATTCTCATGTAATTGGCGGCTTCTGGTCGTGCATTTTCATTCTTCTATTTTATTCTATACATATATACTTTCCTGTATATTTTCTTTTATTTCTTATTATTCCCGTTGCGATCGCATCTGGAAATGTAGAGAAAAAATTGGATTATTGGTGGTGGAAATTACAGTTTCAGTCATTAATTAAGCTTAGTTTACTTGTCGATCGTGCACCATTGAGAATCGAAAAGGTTACAACAGGTTTTATTTATTTTTTTTTTTCACTCAATTTTCCACATAGTTTCGCGCAAAAATGTCAAGGAATCTCTTTCTGCATATTTCCAATTATCAAGGAAAAACTGAAAAAAAAATACACCTTTCCCATACTTTAAACAAGAATTTTAACATCTTGGTTATTCAATTTATACAATTTCATTATTTTCTAATGGAAAATTGAAAATTTATTATATCTAAATTTAATAAATAAGTTTTCATAAGATTAAAATAATTACATTTTCTTCAAATTTCTTCCAGAATCTTGAAATTAATTTGAAGTTCTTTTAGACTTTTCTTCTAATTTAACAGATCTGCTTATTCGATTGAATTGGATTCTCTAATTAATTCTGCACTGAATAATTAAGTTTCGAAGTGATGTGAACTACAATCTGGTTCTGGTTCGGATTCCCTCGCGATGGATATAATTAGCGGCTTCTGTTTTTCTCGCCTCTCTTTCCACCTTATGTATACAATTTTTTTTTTAATGCCGTTTCATTTTATTTTCCTGTTTTTTTTTTTTTGTAAATAAATCACGATATTCAGGAAACAGAGAACGGCGTTTTATTGTCGACAATTACTGGTTTCCATTTCGGGCCTAGTAGACATGCCGAGGTCAATGGATTCGAGCCGCCTCGTGAGCTTCTCTTCCCTTCCACTTCTTCGTCTCTTCCATTTATCAGACAGGAGCGAATCCGTGGATGAAACACATCGACGGACATAGGTGGAACGAGCAGAAGGAACTGAATTCCCGGAGCGCCTTATTAATAACATAATTACGAGTATAAATTGTACCAAAAGGACTTTCAAACGTTCGCTATTTACAATATTCAGAATATGGACAAATCTAATCTTTCCTGCAAATTCCGATTATTCATTTTGCGGAGAATTTATAAGGAAGAGAACATAATCTTCTAACTGAGAAATTAATTATTTTGTTGAATTCCGCGATAAAATAACGAAAAATATACTTCTGCGAAGAATGAAGCGTTTTAGAAACAGAAAAGCTGCTTCTGGGTGGGTTTAATGAATGAGGGACAAGTTCGTGAAGCTGTAAAGCCACAATGTAAGTCTTCTCTACCTGAGATGATGATGATTGAAACAGTAGTAGTAGTGGTAGTAGCATAAGTGATTTGGTCTGGTTCATTTCGTTTATTGATTTTTTTCTCTGTTCTTGTTTACAGGGGCCGCGTCTAGAAAATCCCAAGAGCTGTTCAGGCCCACGAGGATCACGGATCTGCCCGAGAAGCTGCTCATGTCTGGGATCAATTTGCCAGGTAATAAAATGCCATTAGGAATACTTTCTCTGCTCGTGTTCGCTTCATTACTCACTCGCCGCCGCCGCTGAGGAGGAGGAAGAAGAATAACTACTGCAGGCCGCAGAGCAAACAAGAAACAAAGCGAACCAAAAGCTAAAAGAAAAGCAAAACGACCGAAAAAAAGAGAAGAAGGATCGATTGTTGTTCGGGGCCCCGACGGCGCTGCCTTTCGTGGGACTTTCCTGAGCAGCGCGGCGGAGAAATGAATTTTTGCGCAATTCTGCGATTACGTAAAAGTATGGAATTATCAAATTTAGAAATGGAAGAAAGAAACATCGAGGCTCGGCTGGGAGAACGAGCGGCGAGGAGGAATGCCGCCGTCGCCGCTGCAGCCGCATGCATAGATCACTCCGAGCAGATTGTGGAGAGTTCTTTCGTTGGGAGCATTGAGCAATGGTCGGATCTATCTCTTCTGGTGGGCGGTTTATCATCGCCTTCGATCTTCCCCCTTTGTTTTTGCAATTGATTAAGATTTTTTGTTGTTGTTGTTAATAATAACCGGGAGGAGGCGGCGGTGGCTTGAACATCGACGGCGGCTACAGTTGATGAGGTGGAGGAGAGGTGGAGGAGAGGCTTCAGCTCAGCTCAGCTCACGACCCCGACTCCCAGGGCGTGACACACGAAACACATACACAATTCGCAAGCACACAATTGATTTTGCAATGCTTTCCTCCTCCTCTTTCTCTTCTCCCTTCACCTCCAGCGGCATCGGTGGACATACGCCAAAGAGACACGGGGGATTATGCAACGATCGAGGATTATGCGACTTATCATTTCGTGTATTGTGCATGTGCGACCATTGTGTGACCCACAATCCGCAAATTAATCTCGCCGCATCAGAACTTCCTTCTGTTTCGCAAACGATCAGACGCAATTATTGTTTATGCATTTGCATCGTCTCTCCTGCACAATTCTATCACGATTCAGCCACAGCTTCATACTTCCTATTTCGTATCAACCACTTTATACTAAGCTCATAATTTATTGATAAACAGGATAATTACATAACTTCAGACACATTTACACTTAATATCCAAGAAAAAACATCAAATTTAATAAAATATTTTTAGAAAAAAACATTGCAACAACTATTGTTGAAATAGTTTGTGAAAATTGTTTATGGAATTTATTAAATCATAATTAATAGCTAGTTTTAGTTGGATTATAAATGTTGTTATTGTAAATGTGTATCGTTTATAAATAATAATATCTTATTAATGCAGTAATTAGAATGTATGCATTCACTTTGTGATATTAATATTACAATAGAAATGAGATTTAAGTAATAAATTGTTCTTGTTAGATATCAATATTTCTGATGAAATAAATGAGCGAGTTGAAGATAAGTAGGAAATAAGAGAATGGTTAAGTGTTTTTAATTATGCTATTATGGTGTGCTTTGTGTGAACATGAATAGAATGGAAGATGATGTGCGGCGAAGACTTCAGATACTTCATGGATAAAAGGTCCATCCGATTGTTGTATTTCGAGGGGCCAAGATAGGCGATGTAATTGATGAGTTATCGATTGACCCAGTGCTGAAGAGGTCTTCGGTGTTGTTGGCCGCGCGCGGTATGCGGAAACGGACGGGCCCCCCTTCGGTGTCAAAGATCACTTGCACCCATAACCAACTGACCGGATGGATATGCTGCGATGAACGCACCTTACTTTGCAAGATAATGATGTTGATGATGATTACAAGATCAGAAGAAGTGATGTCGCCCGGTTATTGTTGTTGCTGCTGCTGCTGTTGTTGTTATTGTTAGGAGGAAGGAAAGCGTTGCGTAAGACACGTGTGATATTTACATTTTCGATTCCTTTCGAGAGAATAATAGTGTGTCGGAGCGGTTGCGGCCGCAGTTCCTTATGCAATAAATCGCACGCTGATTTACGGTTGGAAAGTGATAAGAGACAGAGGAATTCGCGTGTCCGAGAGCGCTAATGATTCGAGCAAGTGCCGAAAAACAGGTGTCTGTCCCCGTCTCTCCGTTTTCATCGTTTATTTTATTAGAATTCGTTCAAGGCGTGTGGGAGCACCAGGAGTCCGAAGATAAATCTATGGTAATCAGGGCTCTCTTGGAGTCAGGTCACAGGGCCGTGAGAATCGGAGCCAAAGCGCCGCTTTCCACTCAGACACCCCACCACCACCACCATCATCTCTTTCTCTATCTAACTCTTCCGTCTTCATTGCCCAAGAACCACGGGCCATCATCATCATCAGCATCGACTCCACGTGCCGCGGAAAACACGTGGGACGGATATTAGCTTTAGCCGCGTGCCTTCCAAAACCGGAACGTGCTCAATATAATACGAATTCGCATTATTCACACGTACAATAAAAAATACAAACCGACGATCGCAGATTCCTCGGATGAAACGATATGACGCAATATGAATCGATTTTTATAGCTGTGTTTGTATATTTTGCAGGAACCGTGGACACCGAAGGTAGACCGATAATCCTCTGCTACGCCGAATGCATAGCCCGAGCCGGCCTCAACAAATTCGAAATAGCCAAGCTGTTCCTCTACTACGCCTCCATACCAAGGTAGGTCATCGTCATCTGCATTTAACACCTTCCTAATTGCAAACTCGAGTTACAATATTTGCGCGGAACTGTAACTTTGCTTTCAGTGAAAAGTAATCTTCAAACACCGTAAAGAGCTTTTACCATCATCATCATCATTTTTATTTACTTTTTTTATAACGTTTCTCTTCTTGACTTTGTCTATTTTTAAATATTTAAAGGCTTTGCATATAAATTATACCTAAATGTGCTATGTTTTAGTGCGGATTACTCCGAAAAAGGGTTCACCATTTTACTGCTGGCCGAGAACGACGAGCAGAACGTGATTCTGGAAACCTTGGATAAAGCAGTGTGTTTGCTGCAGAATCACATCAGGCTGTCGCGAATCATCGTGTGGCGGCCGGGCGTATCCAAGAAGACGCTCAAGGGCCTCAACAGTCGTACTCAGGTACGAAACGGTTTTACCTTTATTTCGCTGTAACTAAAATTTGCGTTTTTTGGTGAAGGCCAACTTGGTGAGCGACGAGGAATCCCTGCAGAAGTTCATCAGCAAGAGGCAAACCCCTGCAAGCTGCGGAGGCTCCTCCACCCAGCACGATCAGCTGGAATGGGTCGAGTTCTTCCGACAACTAGAGCCGTTCCTCGTGATGTGCCGTACAGCCGGTAGGGCTCTGCTCTCCGCCCTGTCACAGCTCAGACACGAAGAAATCCCTTACCAAATAACAAGGAGATTTCTCAATCACCAGTGCAGGTATACAGTCCTTTCCCTTTTTTTTTTTTTATTGCTCCTAGTTTTTATGGCTGTTTTTGTACCAAAATTAAAATGCGGAAATAATGAGGAGATCGTTATGCGCACACCGTACTAAAATGCATGCCGTTTTTCGCAGACAAATCGCTCAGGCAGTTCAGTTGGAGGTACTGAAAGGTGTCAGACAGGAGGGTCCAGGGACTTTGGCCAGTTTAGAGGAACGAGCGCAGTGGTTGTCAGGTAGTGGTGACGTGCGAAGAGGCGTTGAATCCGCCAGGAAATCGTTTGCTACTATGGAGAAGGTGGCCACGCGACTGGAGCACCTCGCGTGCGAGCGGAAGGAACGTCTGAAGGAGTTGAGCAGACTGAGATCGCTTCAGGATGAAGCCGAAGAGGTGAGTCTTTCTTTCTTAGTTTTATTTTTATAGAAAACGCGCGAAGTGGTTGGTGTATACATGCATAATCGTCGGAAGATTCGATAAGTGTGTTTGCTTAAGACGTCAGTGGACGTTGTGTGGATTTCGGTTTGCGGCTACAATTAGTGGAGTCTGAGGTCAGAGCGAGCGCACTTTCGGCGCGCAAAGTCCAACATTCCTCGCTCCGTGCCAAATTGATAACAAAAACACCGAGAGACCCAAGAACGAGATGTTGTTTGTAAGTTGATCCTGTTTAGAAACTTCTGTTCGCATTGTTTCAAATACAACTCGCCGCCTACTTCTTAATCTACCAAAGCTGCATACGTTGTTTAATAACAATACCGATATAGTATTTGTGCCAAGTTCAGTTATACATCCATGGGACTATTATATTCTCTATATTTACACGTAAGCAACTGTGAGTATCGCAATTCTAAATTTTCACCTAATAACATCCATAAATTTACAAAATACACTAATTATATAATATTTGTAAACAATGTATATTTATATCCATCATCGAATTGATTTACAATTAGAATGATTAAGTAAATAATGGTAATATAATATTGCATGAAATTACAGTGAAAAGTACGAATAACAACATTGTATAAAAATACATCTATTGCATTGGTTGATTAACATCTCATGATGTTTTCGTGTTTGCCTCTGACTCAAAACAGCTCTAATCGTTTTTTTTCCATCTTTCTTTCTTTACATTTGGGTCTGTAATTGAGTGAATTATCAACTTTCATCGTCCGCCGAAAGTGAATAGGATAATCCTAATAGCACGCACGCAGATCCATTTAAAAAATCGTTTCCTAAAAGGATTTTATTCCGTGCGTCGATCTTACTTTCAACCGGGAATGCGATAAAAATTGAAACCCAGAGCAATGATCGAGCAACACATTTCTTCTTCTGTTCTTCCTCGTTTTTGGTTGCAGGCGATGCAACTACGGCGCTATCGGTCATCTGCTTTGAAAACAAAAAGAAAGAAAGAAATAAATAAAAATAAATGCGCGGCGTGATTAATCGTCGTCAGGATTGCGTTCATGGGAATCACTAACAAAAAAAAAAAGTAAGGACCCCGCAATTATAACCCATTTAGATAATGACAACGATGCGGATTTATTTATTGTCTTTTACGTAAGAAGCACGGGGAAAAGGTCATCCAGATAGTGGAGGAGAAGTGGACGTTGCCGGTGCGTTCGTGTAGATCTCCTCCTCGAGGATGAGGATCATCATCATCATCATCATGATGATGATGATGATCGTTTGAGATGATTACGATGATGAGTGGAAAACATGTCTGTAGTGTATTAGCGCGCCAGTAAGCGGAGGTAATTAATAAGTGATCAATAATGTGTGTAATTAGAAGGAGGAAGGCTGCAATTAAGCTGCGCAAACAAAATATTATTGAAGCTCACTTCTCTTCACAAGAAATACACATGTAGGTTGCGCAATCGTATTATTTCAATTTCGTTTATTTCATACCAAAATGATCTCTTCTTAACTCGACGATTGTCCATCGGAGGACGTCTTAGGAAAATATAATTTGCGCTCGTGAAAGTTCATCTGAATCCCCGGACGACGACGAAATCACTCGCTAATTTCGTTAATTATAGAGCCAAGCTATTGGGAACGGCTTCAACGATCCTGATTAGCTGACGAAATAAAAGAAAATCTTTAATCCATTCTAATTCCTCGGATCTAATCTCAGTTTTAATTTCCATTCCGATTCTAATTACACTTTTTAGAAATTAATTGTAAACAATTCTTTTGAAGTCAATATTGAGAGAGAGAAAAAAATAAATTTTCAAGTACTTTTAAAACAATTACAAATAGTTTTCATTTCAATTCTAATCAAGTTTTAGTTTTGACAAAATATTTTCATAAACAATAACTTGAAGAAAACATGTTTATGGAATATTGATGAAAAATCAGTATTTTTCAAATAATAAATTTTAATCTATTCCAACACAAAAATAGTGTTTTTGAAACATATCTTTAACAAAAACAAAACTATTTTAATTGTATCATATTATAATGTAATAGAAAGTAAAGCAAACAAGACGAAAAGTGGACTAATTAAAATTTAATTACATTTAACAATTTGGTAATTATGTTTTTCTCTAGGAATAGTTTAGAGTTATAAACTATGATAAATCACAATATTTGATTCTTTGTAAGTTATTTGGAATAATTATAAATATGTTTTTTTTTTTCATTTTCAATAAGAACTTTGCGCGTTTTTATTTTTATATTTATAAGATATCGGCAATAATTTACCTAAACCAAAATATTTTGTACGAATCTAGAATAAAATGTATTTATTTTTGGTGATAGATTTTGATATGTAGAATAAAATGTGTTTCTAATTACAAAATAATTATGTTTATGGGATATTCTCTAATAGCTTAAAGTTAATAAGTTTTTAGATGAATGTGTAAGAAATAATGTATGTTGTATCAAATTGATATGATTTTGAAGATTGAGTGGTTTAGTTGGAAATGGTAGGCATTTGCTTAGGTCCTAGAGAAAGTCGGTGCTATCACATTTACATCTTCCATCGTTTTGCATGTGTTGGGCTCGCCCCGATCCAAGCTAAAATTTCCTACTTAGATAAGTAGGTAGCTTGAGCTTCAGTTGTTGGATGAAGGAAGGAAAGAAAGGCAAAGATATACACAAACAGAAACATTAAAAAAAAAGGGAGCTATTTCGCCGATTAACGAGGCGATCTGTGTGGGTCCGTGTGTTACGTATATACGAGGACGCGAAAAGAGGGGACGGAAAGAAATGCAAGAATGTTATTTAATTTGGGTTCGTTAAGAAATCGCCGGGTTAAATAATGCAATCGATATATGTGTATGTGTATGCATTATCGATCGATTGCTTTGCTGTTGCAGTCTAATCGGAATCAATTAATCTTGTTTGTATCGACTTTCAGTTCGGTATCTGTTGGAGCCAAAAGCGATGAAGGTTTCTCATATGCACCTTGCGAATGTTATTTCGCTCGGTGTAACAGTAATTAAAATCGAAGAGCGATCGTGTGTCGGCCATTACACGGATAAGTTCAGAAACACATACATACACACTACAGACTCAAACAATTTAACATGCACACGCGCTCACACCGGATCCACACGGGAATATACATACATACAAGAACTTGCATACATGCAGACTTTGCAATCAGCATTAAAACACACTCGCTAAGTTGATTGATAACCGATCGCTAATTCGTCATTAGTATGCACGGTGAAAACGGGCCGAACCCAAATACCCATTGGGTGGTCCTCCGTTCAAAAGCAAACTTGAACACATACAACATCCTGCTGCTGTTGCTGCTACTACCACCACCTCATCGGACAGCTATCGCAGTTCCCAATTAATTTTCCTTTCTTCGACTAATTGTTCTACTAGCAGGACTTCCTCCTCCTACAACACGTCTTTTTCTTCATCCTTTTACACCTCCTCTCCTCCCCGATCGGCTTCGACGCATTTCATCCCAATCACCTGAGTCGACGCGAATCTGCTTACTATCACCTCGTACACCTCGTTTTTCTCTCCATTGTAATTAAGCCTGGCACTTCCTCCAGCAACAAATGTTAGTTAGTATCTCACACCTTCATCGTCTACTTCCTGCAATCTTCTCTCGCGTGCAATCCACTTTTACATCAACCGTAACATATTCCACCTCCCATTATTTGAACTCCAGTCGAACCACATACAATCCACTGATTTAATCATGCAATCATTCAGAATTAATAGTTATTTAAAGTGATCAACAACTATAATTGTTTATATCAATCTACACAAATTTATTAATAAGTTTCAAATTGTTCAATATTTATATTTTAACCAATTCAATGATCATTAAAGATATAATCTACAAAAGTTATTCAAAGTGATCAAAAGGTGGTAAATTTTAATATAAATCTTCGCTTTTCGAACTTTAGCTACAATTAGGATGAATGTTTTAAGAGACTTTAATGTTACGATTTTCGTGTAGGAGGAAGTTATTTACCTGGGTATGATGAAATCAGTATTAGATTAGATCGAAATTCCGCAATCACTAGATTTATTTAATGAATGGGCGAGTTGCAACTAACTAAGAAAAGAAAGAAAAAAGCTTTTAATGATATGGATATTGGCAATAAACGGTCGTGTCGTTTACTACGGATTTCGTAAATATTAATTTACGAAGTGAATGAAAGTGGTAATCAATTTTTTGCATGTAATTGAATAATAAGTTCACGTACTAAATTAAATCCAATTTGATCTTTAAGACGAGAAATGTGATCTGGAATGATTTCATTAATGCAGGCAGCTTCATTTGAGGATGCTTGAATGGTGAGATTGAATCGTTTAGATTGTATCGAATTCCGCAATCGCGAGATTTACTGAATGAATGGAAATATGTGTGTCTGTGTTTGCAATAAGAGTGTTGGGAAAAACAAGAAAAGAAGGCAGGCGCATTTAATGATATGGATATTGGCAATAAGCCGCGTTTAAAACGTGTCGTTTTACTACGGATTTCGCAAAATGTACATTTGGAAGTGAATGAAGGAGGCGACTCCAATTCACCTGAACTACTGAACGGCGGCAACTGAATGGAATCGGCACCCACGCGCTTATTTAACAGATCGTTTTTGTTAGCAGTAATTTTTTTTCTTCTTTTTTACCATCATGCTTCACGTTCGTTCGCCTAGAATTACAAAACGTAACGGCAAAAGGAATTATGCATAATTCACGTGCAACGGCGAAAGGAGACCCAGCGCTCCAATTAGCCAGATCTTAAGTTTGCAGCAGTTGTGGTAGTCGTCAAAGTCGTCATCGTCGTCATCGGGATTTGGATTAAGAAATTTTCAGCGCCGCCGCCGTTCACTTCGACGGGGCCGAAGTCATTTCGGTGGCTCGACCAACGCTGCCTTTGCTTTAATTAATTGATTGACTTGACTAAAAGTTTTTCTGTTTTATTTGTTTGCTGTTGCTGTCGGTTCAGCTGTTGAACTGGCTCAGGAAAGAGGGCGAGGAAACCATCAAGAATCAGTTCATTTTACTGCGAACCGCGGAGAACGTCGCCGCCATCAAGGAGCTCGAGAAGAATTTTGAAAATTTTCAGTTCGATGCAATGGTGAGTTTGCGAAAGTTACGATTGCGAAGATGTGCAAATAAACATCGATTGGTTATTTATTTTGCAGAGACAAATCGACAAGACGACGGATCTGATCGAAGAGTCCAACGGCATCAAGGACATCAAAGGAAAGAATCTGAAGGAGCAGACGAACAATTTGAAGATCGAAGTGAAAGCTTTCGGTGAGAGATTGGAAGAGTTGCGGGAACGTCTCGAGGACGGTTCCAGGTGTTTCCAGCTTCTGGAGTCGTGCCAGGACATCCTGGAGGACGATAACAAAGAGCGCGAGGATTTTAAGAGGTTGGCCATCAAATCCGGCAACGAGAAGTTGATCCAGATATGCGAATCCTCGAAGAGTCCTATCGACGATGGGATCAATCCCTCGCATTCTCCGCCACCTCCGGAGGGCGCGACCACGAAACCCGCCTGCCAGATTCGGAGGAGATCCGTCAGTTCTTACGCATTCATCTATAAGTGCAACCATCATGCGGCCGGCGTCTCGTGCAACTGCTGCGAATCCGACACCGAGAACACCGTATCTTATAAACTGAAGAAGAAGTACATGCAGTCGCTGCAAGGATGCGGATGCTCAAAAGAGTCGCTCGAGCGGAAGAGCAGCGTGGTAACACTAGATGGGATCAAGGAAGTGCGTGAAAGTGTGGAGAATCTGCTGGAGAACATTGACACTGCAAGAGATCGGTGCGGAAGATGCGACAGCGGCGTGTCGACGGCAGAGAACTCCGTTGGGGATGACAGTGGGTACAAGAAGAAGCTGGAACGATCCTGCTCTTGCGCCTACTACCGAGAAAGCTGTCCGCTGTGTAGCACCAACAGCTCTAGCACGGGATCCAACCAGGATCACACGGATAACCAGCAGGATAGCATCATCGAGGAAGGTAGCGATGGATTCGTCAAAAGGTTAGCAATCAATTGAATGAATAAATTCATCAACTGAATTAATTTTAATTTACTTTAACAGCAGTAGCAGTGAAGACATAGATTTCACCGAAGAACGCAGAAAGGTGTTACCCATCACCTCGAACAGTCACCTCTACTACCACTCGTCCATACTAGATTTACCCAGCGACAGCTTCGACATCAACACGGATCCGAAAACGCAAAAGTAATATTATTTAATTTAAATTATAATCACGAGTACTCATTATAACCGTATTTTAGAACTTTGCTGTATATAATGCGAGAGATGATCCAAACCGAACGCGATTACGTGAAATCTTTGGATTACGTGATCGAAAACTATATTCCGGAGCTGCTGCGCGAAGACATACCGCAGGCCCTCCGTGGTCAGCGTAACGTGGTCTTCGGCAACGTCGAGAAAATCTACGAATTCCACAGTCAACACTTCTTGCGCGAACTAGAGCAATGCGAGAACCACCCTCTACAAGTCGGACAGATCTTCACGAAGTACTATAAGAGGTTTTACTTGTACGCTCTGTACAACAAGAACAAACCCAAGTCCGATTCGTTGATGTCGGAATACGGAACTTCTTTCTTTAAAGTATGTCTAATTTCCACAATTATGTTTTTTACAAATTAATTTATCTTGTCTTTGTTTGTGCAGAGTAAACAATTACAGCTAGGCGATAAAATGGACTTAGCCAGTTACTTGTTGAAGCCGGTGCAGAGGATGGGTAAATACGCTTTGCTCTTGCAGCAGTCGATGAAGGCTTGTCCTGAACTGCAGCCTGGTGCGACCGAAAGAGCGCAGAACGAACAGGACGAGCTGAAGATGGCCGAGCAGATGGTCAGGTTTCAGCTGCGACACGGTAACGATCTGCTCGCCATGGATTCCATCCGAGAGTGCGATGTTAATCTGAAGGAGCAAGGACAGCTTCTCAGGCAGAACGAGTTTCTCGTGTGGGAAGGACGCAACGGGAGGAAATCGTTGCGACAGGTTTTCCTGTTCGAAGAGTTGATACTGTTCAGCAAGGCCAGAAGGTTCCCCGATAGAAAGGTACAATTCATAAAACATAATTAAATATATTTACATTCTATGCGACAATTTACAGAATCTGGATTTGTACATTTACAAGAACAGTATAAAAATGACTGATATTGGATTGACTGCAAAGATCGGCGAGAGTCCGACGAAATTCGAGATTTGGTTTAGGAAGAGGAAGCCCAACGACACGTTCACTTTACAAACGATGTCCGAAGACGTGAAGAAGGCTTGGACCGAGGAGCTTTCTCAACTTTTATGGAAACAGGCTTTCAGGAACAGAGGTAATTTGTTATTGATTATATAAAAGAAGTGTTGGGCTAGTTTTATTATCTTGTGATTTCGTAGAAGTTAGAATGCAAGAGATGTCCTCGATGGGTATAGGAAACAAGCCGTGCTTGGACATTAGGCCCAGCAAAGACCAAATTAGCGATAGATCAATAAGCTTTGACCAATTGTCCAGAAGTAAGTAGAACGCTTTCCATTTTTTGTTTGCTGCGTTACGCTTCGATATTATCACGTTGCTATTTTAGCTGCACCGAGATTTAGAAGCTCAATTGTAGGGCCCTCCGCGACGGACTCGTGCAGAGGTAGCACCAGGAGGCCGCATTCAGTTATCTCCATGTCGAGCGTGTCCAGCGGCAGCACGAGTTCTGCGGCATCCGGACATACGGCGACCACATCTACAGCTTTGATGGGAGGAGGCGGTGTCAATACCGGAGGAGGTGTTGCAGGAGCATGTGGAACAGCGTACGAGACGAACTGCGACAGCCCCAAAAACTACCACAGATCTGGCACTTTAAACAGTCAATGCTCTGTTGGTACGACCATAAATCTACCGTCTTCGACGCAAGCAATCATTAACACGTCTTCTCATTCCTTTGTAGAAAGCGGAATCATCTCCGACGTATCTTTAAGCCACGACGAGTGTTCGGACGGACATTTACCAGCATGGACGACGTCGCAGAAATCCAGTCCGCCTCCATCGAATCAAAGTGAATCGAATCAATACGTGCCAGACGATATACCTGTTAACATTTAGTTTTACGAGAGAACAAACCAGACATCATCATTGATCCAACCACCCTCCCAGTAATCCCCTTTAAGCATGCTTAAAACATCTCTCTTACTCTTTTTTTCCAACATTTCTATATATTATATATAAAGAAAAAGAAAAGAAAAGCGACGACGATATTGTAAATAGCCAATACAGTTTGTTTTCTTCCGTTATACTTAGTTCATTCTTTAATTTACTTTTTAATTAATTAATCAATTAATAATAACGTTCGTAAATCAACAAACAAACAAAAAATGCAACAAAAAAAAAACATAATTTATTTTCAATTATTTCCATTATTTAAACAAAATCAAAAATTTATATTTATAAAACGATATTTTGAAGAATCAAAATCGACATTGTTTGTAAATCTCTTTATCTAATCTAATTGTATATTGTTTTAATGTTTAATTGCCTTTCTTATTTAAGATTCTCCCCATTTTTTAATTTTTCTTCTCTTGTATATTAAGTCCCATCCCCCAACCCTTTATTTTTTATAATTATTATTATTAATAATTTTATTATCATTGTTTTATTTTTCTTTTATTATTATTATTATTATTTTTGTTTTGTTAACAATATCAGGGAATTTTGTTTTTTGCATGATTTTTCCTCTAATATCTTTTATTTCTATAAATATTTCTCTCCACTCGTGGAGGAAAGAAGGCTCGGAATTCAATAATTACTTTAATCAGTTCGAAGGAACCGGAGCGTAAATATATTATATAAAAGAGATAAATAAATAAATAATCTATTATATTGTAATAGGCATAATTACATTTGTAACAGATTCTAAGGAGTATGTATGATTTTTTTATATAGTCAAATATAAATATGTATAAAAAAAATTAACAGTTGTTTCTTTTTACCACTTCCAATTACGAAACTAATTGAATGATAAAAGATTGTTTAAAATCATTTAAAAATTGACATAAAATTAAATATTTGTTAGGAATTTAGAAACAAAACATTTCATGTAATGACTTCAATTGGTTTTGATAATAATAAATTTATATTTTTTAAACGAATTGAAGTATTTTGGTAAATTGAAATTAAATGTATATTTGGTTGCCTACGACGAATACTTAATTATGAAAATTTAGAAATAAAACATTTCAATTAATGATTTCGATTGTTTTTGATATTAATAATAAAAAATACAGATAATCTAAATTAGATTTTTATTAACTACAAGCATTAAGTTAAACATTTATGGAAATCAAGAAATAAAAAAATATTCAATGCGTATATCCAATTTTTTGTATTTAAATTTTATATTGTATGCAACTCAATATACTTATATTTCAAATTTAAAAAATCTACAAGAACTTTTCTAAAAATTAATTAAACTTTACAAGAATTTCTAGTTTGATTACAAAAGAAGTTCATGCTTAAATTAATTATGGCAATGTTTCATTAACAGATTTAATTAACACAAAATTTAATAAACTAATAGTTTTATACCTGTTTTTACTACACTTTAAGCTGATCGTAAAACGTGCCGTACCCATATTGTATTTTGATTGAATTAATTAATTACATTAATTGTTTCTTATAAAATTGATGTAATTAAATTAAAATTCAATTAATTTAATTTATTATCGCGATGTCTGCGTAGATTCTGTTAAAACAATAGACTTTTCTTGTTAGCCAACGAGATTTTAAGGCAATCACTGAAGACGTAGGACCGTTAATTTAGGGTGGCTTTAAATTTCTGGTGAGGCGATTCAACTAATGAATGAGTTTCAGGCGTGAAAGTATTTCGCAAAAGCGAGACTAGGGTGCAAGTGATTTGCATTTAACTACCCTCATTACAGTTTCAATAACATTAAGAAAACAATTGATTATATTAAAAAAAAAATGTACATTATTATAGATAAGTTGTACTAGTAAATATATGTAAAATTATTAATAAATTATGTACTTTAGTAAGTTGAAATTGAGTGTATGTTGGGTTGTCTATGATGAATACGTGATTATGAAAGTTTCAGTTGCAGAATAATTTATGAAAAGGGCTGAATTTTCAGTGGAGCAGTGAAATTCACTTTGCGCTTTGCGAAGTTTAATATTGTATTGTTCTGTAATAATATAAAAGTAAATAAAAAAAGCGGTCTCTTTGAAGTGGTACGAATTCGTAATAAAATTGCGCTCAAGTACGTCTAGATATTATTCGCTTTTGTTTTTTTATTGTGTGTGTGTGTGAAAATAAATCAAAGCAGTCTTCTACTTTCTTGACTGTTTCCATTAAGTTTCCTTCATCATTTCCACACCCATCATACAGCATGGAAAATATTGCTGGTGCTGCTGCAGATGATGATATTCGTGGACGAATTAAAAAATCTGTCGCAGCATTAAAATTTATTTTTATGTATAAAGCATAGTGCTGCGCGCCCGATGTTGTTGTATGTATGTATATACATGAAGCACCGCCGCCGTCGCGCTGCATCCTCGTGACTTCTATTTTTACAACGGAATATTTATCACAATTATAAACTGCAAATTTTAACTCCAATATTTACATATTTATGCCGTGCCGCATTTGCATAGAAAGCGTTCCAGCAAAAATATATATTCTCATTCGATACTATTCCCTCCCCGTTACTGCTTCTATTATTCTTTTTTTACGAACTGTTTTATTCGGTTTATTTCACTTCCCAAGTCTTCACTTCTTCGCGTATGAACTACTACCACTAGTTGTTGTTGATTTTTCTCACTTCACTGTGTGTATATCTCTCTTTCTCTTTTTCTTTCTTCCAGCGAGTGATTAATGCCCTCAGAAGCGGCGCCACGGAACCGTAAGGAATCGGCGTATCGAAAGTTTTACGTTCCTCGTATGGAAATAGGTTTTCACTATATTTTTTTAAAAAATTATTTGTCTATTTTGTCTATTAGATGACAACACGAACGTTAACTTTTCATTCTGTACAAATTGTATTTTATTTATTGCTCAAATATTTAAATGAGAAGGAAGTATTTAGAAATTAATCAAAAAAAGGATGAAAGGAATTGATGAAAGTTTTGCGTTTCTCATATGAAAATAAGAAATAATTTTGTTGATTAGATGACAGAATGAATACGAATTGTTAATTGATTAATATTTTATAGTATTATTGTACAGGGTGGTCCAATTGAACTGCAACTTTTCAGAACGCTGTATTTATTTTATTTGAAATTGGATTTTATTGAACCATAAGCAAAAAATGTTGGAAAACAATTAAATTTCTTGAATTCATTTCAAATTTTCGAACATCGGTGAGAGCTTGTCCTTTTTGGAAGGAATCACTTTGAGTTCGACTTTGAGTATTTGTTGCATGGTTATTTTCCATTTGCCATTTGTCGCAGTCCCATTTGTCGCGGATTTCATTAAATTCGAGCCTTAAGTTTCCGAACCACTTCTACCACATATGTAGTTTATTCCGAACACCAAAATAACACTTTGTTATAACGCTTTGTTATAACGTGTTATGGTTCGAGACACGAAAGATAACTTTTTTTTCAAAAGAACTGAGATGAAAATGCTTCCGCAAACTTGTAAACAATAAAATCAGCTATCATCAAGCGAAATATGGACACAACATTGCCAATAGTTCAAAAGTTATAGCAGTTTTAAGTTGATTACAGTTCAATTGGGCCAACCTGTATAAAATAATATGAAGTAAAACCTATTGAAAATAATGAATTGAATTTTTTGTAAAGAAATAAATTTTCTTTGTTTTATTTCTTTATCAGAAATATTTGACTATTTTGTATATTAAATTAATAATTAAAATTTAAAGATGTATAAATAAAGTTAAATAAATTTTTCATAAAACATATTTGTATAATTATAATTTTGCATCTTTTGATACATTAATTTATGACCGAATATACTTCAAATTTTATAAATTAAAAAAAAATATATATAAAATTTTAAGTACTGCAACGTAATGATAATTAATGATCATGATATTGCATTTTTTCAATTAATTTACTCATCATCGCCTTTTATTTTAATTACTTCAACGTTATTAATGCCAATTAGATTATTTATAAAATTAATTAAAGATTAAATTAAGGCCTTTCCAATGTACCAACTGTTAGATTTGGTGTATTTATTAATTTTCTATAATGAACTGTTAAAGTTGAGCAACAAAATTAAGGTAATATCTTAACGTTTTATTTAATTAATCGATAACTGCGAATTTCAATTACACCATCAAATATGCAAATCAAAGATAAAATACTGTCCTTTCCAACGTACTAACAGCTAACTTTGTGGTGTTGACCATTCTTTAATAATAAGTAGTCAAAATTGGAAATGCAGTATTTTAACGATAACTGTGCATGTACGAAATATTTATCGAATCGTTTTTGAAATAAACAAAATGTATTTTGTTTCTCTGGAGTTCCTCAAGTGTTGTTATTGGTTTATAAATATAACAAAATATTGCAAAATTGATATGCGTGGTTTGGCTAATCTGTTTATTTATTTGGTACAACTGGAAATTGTTTTCCCCATCGGAAAATTGAATTCCCTGGGCTATGGAAAATCGGACGCGAAGGAAGGTGTATGCGTATGCAGCGAAGGCGAAGGTGATTAATAATTGAGGCTTTTTGTTGTTGCACTGTTGTTGTTGGGTTTAATAAATAAGATATTAAACGCGAGAGGCGGCGGCGGCGGTTGCGGAACTTTGGGTGAGGGAGAGGGCCCGTTTTGGATTAGTTTTGGACCGATTATATCGCAGATTAAACGCGGGAAATTAATCAAACTAAGTTTGCGCAGACCCGAAAAAGCCGTGTGCACAAGAGCCGTGCCAAAGAGAGAGAGAGAGAAAGGGAAATTTACAGGAAATAGTTTAGTAATTAATATTTGCACTTTTCAAAAACGTCCCGCCCTTGTTAACAGAAATTTGGAACTGGATGGGTTCGGTTTTGTTTGCTTTGGGTATCATTTTTTTAAAAGATTCTTTTACTTTGCACGGTTTCCATTTAGCAAGTCCAGTCGCCGGGATTGGATTAGATTAGATTACGGTGGCCTCGTGTAAACTCGCCCTTCGCTTAGGAGCAGAGATCCGCACATGCACGGCATGTTTGTGTTTATAATTACTTTGGCGGGCGCATTAATAGTTTTAATTAAATTAAATATTGCATTCATTATATTAAAAAGGATGTAGAAGGGAGAGGGCGCACGCACCGAGCGTTGCAAAATTGCGCTCAAACATGAATGAGAAGAAGTAAAGTGAATGGGA